AAAATCGTCATCCTTATTCATACATACCATTCAGTGCGGGACCACGTAACTGTATCGGTAAACCATATTTTTTTATATTCTGTCATATAATAACACGTTATATATGAAGAGATTACGACACATACAAAATTACAGGCCAACGATTTGCTATGCTGGAAATGAAGGCTATGATAGCTCCTCTAATACATAATTTCTACGTCGAGCCTATTGATTATCTAAAGAATATTCAAATACAAGCTGATTTGGTTATTCGACCTGTTCCTCCATTTCGTGTAAGATTTGTTCCTGTCCGTGAAACGAATGCAAGCCTTTGAAGCAAATAACAATTTATGAACATTGTTGAAGGTAAAGGGAAGACTCTGTTTGTCTACCAAACGATTTTGTAGGCAACGCTAACAGTGTAATAGTAACATTTAATGCATATGTTATTATCAGAGGTCATAAAAATTGTAATATAAATAAAATATAATAAATACAAGATATATTATAAATAAATAATTATTTCATTAATATAATCATAAATGATATACGTGGTTCTCTAAACTGGCAATAAATATTTTAATGACTTATTCTTTGTATCATTTTAAGACGAAACTTGTAATACGAAAATAGCTTGCTACAGGTTTTATGGGAAAACTGTACGTATTCCCATAGAGACTGTACACCATTCACTCACACGTATTCTGATCTATAATATAAACCTACTTATCCATTTTCTACCCGTGTTTCAACATAATGAACCTACAAATCTTTAATTAACCCCGACGCGATTTTCTAGGGGTTTGACTTGGAAGTTAACGCGCCCGCGGGATTTAATAGGGGTTTCATTCTCGCACATATTCGAGAATGTATGTATATAGAAACATAACCCACCCGAATTGTAATCAATGAAAAGAAATCAAAGTATACTTCGTACAGCACCTTACTCAGGTACTCCATCAGAGTGGCCAATATTGACCACTTACCTCGTCGTATTTAGTCTTTTTTCATTGGGCCAGAGTGAACATACCCTTCATTGCTTCTGGCCATACAATCTAGTCATTTTGACCAGAAATCAGGAAGGGAGCAAACTACTTCCATAGTCGGTTATCGTCACCGACAAATATTTCGTACGGTTCGAATATACAAGTGTCGATCATATAAAAAAATGCACGACAACGAGACGTTAATTAAAGAAAAGTATTAATTCACAAAACTTTACTGTATATACGAATTAAATTAATTTTTACTGCCGTTATTTACTCAAAAATATTGATCATCTCTTCGTAATTTAATCTTTGTTTTTAAAATTACAGACATAGAAAAAAATTTACTTCGCGTTAGAGTGATTTTAATAATATTCCACGATAAATTAAAATACACTCACCCGCAAAAGAAATGGGCCACCACATTTTAGCCCAATTTTTCAACATTTTTCAATAGCGATAACTCGGCGAAAAATCATCGTAGAAAAATGATTAAAAAAGCATTTTGAAGCTTGAAGTTTCAACTTTGAAATGCTGTCAACAATTCTTTAAAATTCGTTTCCTTGTTCTATGCTTTAAAAAAGAACACATTGTTTTTTTTTCTTAGAATTACGTATTTTTGACGCTCTGTGGCTGGTTAAAAAAATTTGTCTCGAAAATATCATCTCAAATTTCATAAACTACAACTCTTTGCCTACAAAACGTTCTTTTTTAAATTGTCCTACGATGTTTTTTGACCGTGATATTCGATTTTGAAGCTAAACCTGTACTTTTTAGAAATGTTGTCGATACTCGGCGAAAACTCATCGTAGACAAATGATTAAAAAAGCATTTTGAAGCTTGACGTTTCAACTTTAACGTGCTCTATAGATGTCCTTTTAAAAATCCTTTATTTTCCTTGTTCGCTGCTATAAAAAAAGAACACATTGTTTTTTCCTTAAAATTACGTATTTTTGATGCTCTGTAGTTGGGTAAAAAAATTTCTCTCGACAATATCATCTCAAATTCCATAAACTACAACTTCTTGGCTACAAAATGCTTTTTTAATCATTTGTCTACGATGAGTTTTTGCTGAGTATCGACAACATTTCTAAAAAGTACAGGTTTAGTTTCAAAATCGTATATCTCGGTCAGAAAACATCGTAGGACAATTTTTTAAAAAGCGTTTTGTAGGCAAAGAGTTGTAGTTTATGAAATTTGAGATATTTTCGAGACAAATTTTTTTATCCAGCCACAGGACGTCAAAAATACGTAATTCTAAGAAAAAAACAATGTGTTCTTTTTTAAAGCATAGAACAAGGAAGATAAACGAATTTTAAAGAATTGTTGATAGCATTTCAAAGTTGAAACTTCAAGCTTCAAAATGCTTTTTTAATCATTTGTCTACGATGATTTTTCGCCGAGTTATCGCTATTGAAAAATGTTGAAAAATTGGGCTAAAATGTGGTGGCCCATTTTTTGCGGGTGAGTGTATATAATATGGATAAAAACAATTAATAATTTCTTGAAATTTTTTCTTAAAAAACCGATCGCAAAAACCGACCGTGAAAATACAAAGATGCGTGTGACAATGCATGTCTTCATGCGAGACGCATCTTAAAAATACGTATATCACGTACATACATACGTACATAACAGTATAAATAATGTGAGATCCCGAAAAATGAAACTTCTTTCATGATTCCAACCGATATTATAATTAATTAATAACAGCAAATAACGTATAAAAATAAGTGAAAATTTCAGTGTTCTCGACAAAATAGATTACAATCTCACATCATATTATTACTTTATATATCAACTTATTAATAAAAATGGATAGGCTACAAGAGTTTCGCTCGACGAATACATCATTGCTTTCACTCCTCTCCGGAGATTTAATATATTAAATAAATAATTTAATTGCCGTTAGCACTTGAGACCTATCCATTTTAAGGCAACGAATATACAAGATATATAAATCTACCATCTACAATCTACGTGCTTCGTGATTTGTATATTCGTTGCCTCAATAAAAAAAGTTTTTGACTTACCGACCCGATGCGCAGCAACGGAGTTTAACTACGGTGATTCTGTAACAAATAATTAGAAAATTCTCATTAAAACAGAGTATTCAAGAAAAGCGCAATATTACAGAAAATAATTTTTAAATTATTTAAAATAAACAAGGCGAAGATTAATTTTATACGAAATAAACAATATTTACCTTAAAGTTGCTCCGTTGTTGCCCGATGCCTCCTAAGCCGCTGCCTCCTCTCAGGTTTCTGCATGTCGCACTGGCACAACGCGACACTCGCTGTTGCGACGAACATGGCAGACCTTCGCCGAGCGAAACTGTCCGACGTCGGTAAGATCTGGGATAGCACCCAGCGCGAAGCGTTGTCACCGGTGTCGACAAGGGAGACGTGATAATCAATATGTGATCGTCATTTTTTTGGATCGATCGTCTCTCTGGACAAAGTTTAGTACGTGCTAGCAGAGAGAAGCCTGAGAGATGTCACGGCCCCGTTTTTCGTGATACGCGAATGCGATACGCCCTCTGTGGACATTGAAAACGTGGACATTGAACTACGTAGCCAATTTGCACATTTTGCTAAGTGGGTAACGCAGATTTGCACAATTTTAGCCCCGTCCCGCGCTATGGTTAGATCCCATGCAATGATCTTGTACTTAAAATAATCTTAAGAACAAGAGCATCGCACAGGACCTGATTATAGCA